TGTCCCCAGGAAACCTCCCACCTGCTCAGGGAAGCTGGTGGCGGCGCCACTGCGAGCTGACAAGAAAGTTGATTTCGCTCGGCAGGTCTGGGTATCAGAAACACCCTGCTTCAGTGTTTCCAGCCCGAAATTCTCAGAATTTCCATTTCAAGGGGAATTTGGAAACTCTTGGGGTTTTGTTCTGATTCAGACTGAAACCACATTTTGAAATAACAAAATTTCCTGTGCACGAGTAGCCCTGTTTTCCAGCTCGCTCTGCTCAAAACCAAAGGTTCCCCTCTACTCCAATTTTTAGTGTTTTCATACTGCTGAAACTCCCTCAGTCCTCAGTAAAGTTCTGACTTAAGGCGGAGTAAGAGGAAAATAACAAAACTGAAGGTTTTCATAGTCTCCTTCTTAGTCTTAACTCGCAGCGCACAGTAAAATGAAGATAATTCTATCTCTGTTTTATGGATTGGAAATGGTGGCACTGAAGAGACTTAGTAAACCAGTTTCAGTCCCGGTCGTGTGCTCCGAACAGAGTAAGATCTCCAAGCCTCAGGAGCAAATTGCTGTTTATCATTTACTCATATAGAAATTTGCTAAAAAAAGTCCATTCTCTTAGTCTCCAACTAGGAGAATGTGAGCAGGTTACTCAGAAAGAGATTAAATTCAGGAAACATGACTGCTGCAAGAGACGTGTGTAATTTGTCAGAAAGAGAGTGCAAGTTTACGTTATAAGTACTTTACAGAAGCCAATGTGATACTTAGAAAGCGAGCACTAGTTCATAGCAGGAGACCTGGCATCTTGGATCTGAACATATTAATCTCACTGATATCGTTATGGCATGTGGGGGAAAAGAAAGGCATTCCCGGCGAATACCCTGGGAGGTATGTAAAAATTGTACAGATACAGCATAGAGCCTCTCAGTGTGAACTCAGCACGAGCAGTGTGAACTCTACACATGGTTTTCCTCTTCCCTGTCTTCCCCACTTTGAAATCTTATTAATACCTCCACGTGTGGTCTGAGATCCCCATTTTCCTCCCTGCCGAAGGTTTCCTCCCAGCCCAGCTTACAACTGGCCTAGCAGAAGTTTTTCCTCGTCCCCATCTACTCATTTGCTACCTCTATGCAAATATGTTCAATGATGCTGTTGTTTTGAAGGTGCCGTTCCCCTTTTATAAGACCTCAGCAGACTTTTCTGCTGTCTCAAACCTTTAGTTCATATGTTCAGAGCCCTTTCATTTATCTCACGCTGTGTTTTGCTTTAGGAGTTGCTGACCATGATGTTAGCCCTTTGATTCAATAAAAGGCATTAAAGATCAGACAGAAGATTCAGCAGAGATGCGAACATCTGTGATTCTTCATTCCTCCATTGAACTGGCCAACAATAATATTTCACATATTTAGATGAGGAATGAGGAGGGAGAATTGTTTGTCAAGACTCCAGGCTTTCCAGATTATCTGGTGACCTTGGAACAACAATGCATAACCTATGAAAATAGAGATGATGTTTGTTTTTCAATAAAGTGAACATTCCTCTCTTCTGATAGCTCCCAGCAAGATAAAGCAGTTAGGCTGGTGGAATTAGATTATTTTTTCCCTTTTTATAGATCCACATTCAACTGAAGATGGGCAATTCCTGGTGGGACCTCCTGTGAGACTCAGGAAACACCTTTGGTGGCTTTGAGCCTCATTTCCCAGGAAAAAGCCTGTCCCTGCAGGGTGAGATTAAGGGATGCACACTCCTGGACAACCAGCTGGGAGCTCAGCTTGGTAGTGCCAAACAGCACATGTTTTGTGCAGAAACACATGCAGTTCATTTGCTGCCTACATAAAAGAGATCAGCAGATCCAATAGCTTCAGTGTGTCCAACCCAGCAGATGGAGATGGCATCTCCTTTGCCCAGGAGATGGCAAAGCCCCAGTAAGGTGCTCCCAGTCTGCCTTTCCCATGTGGCAGCCAGAAATGCTCCTGGAGAGCTTTACAAATAAGCATATTGTATTTACTGTTGCGAAATGTTATAGCTGCTCAAAATCTGAACGCATCAAAGGAGTTTTGCCCAGCTGCTTTCTCAAGCAGAGGGCAGATGATGCAATTCTCTTGATTTTCCCATCTCCTTCTTTCTTTGGGGACAGGATGTGACAACATGTTGTTCGGTTCAAGAAGTTTGAACCATTGGTTCAATTGGAAAAGGAATAAGCAAGCGGCATGATCCAGCCCTTTGCAGTGAAGCAAGCTTAGATGGTAGTAGAGCCCTCTGTGAGCTGCACGCCCATTCAAACAACCCCAGCAAGGCGATGCAATGAGCAATTTGGCTCACAGCATCCCTGCACAGTTCCTGGGCAAAATCATTTTTCTTTTGTGTCTAAAATCCTAGCGACCCACTAATGCCCAGAGCTCTCCTCAGAGACAGACAGACATGCAGCAAAAGGCAAAATTACCTTCCTATCTCAGTGCAGCTGTGTCTTCGCAGTGGACAGAGGAGTTTCCCACCTCGGTGGGGGCACACACATGATGCATGGAGTGGCTCTGGGCTCACCAAAGGGCTGTATCACTATTTCCCATTCATAGCCAGGGGCAGCAGAAACCAGAGCAAATCAGACAGAAGCTGCCTGTCAGGATGCTCCTGGATCTGGGGACTGCGGGGCTGAAGCAGCCCTCTCAGATCCAAGCTGCGGTGCTGTGTGAAGCATCTCTGATATCTGCTGGAAGGCGGTTTCCAAGTTGAGTAACATATTTTTTATTTGGTGTCCTATGTATTTTACATGTTTGCTGTGAAGGGGAGACTATTTCTGGGTACTGACAGGGAAAAAGGTCCTGTAGAGAGCCCGGGAAGCTGGTGGAAGGGTGACTCATGGGTTGGTTGGGGAGCAGGGGATTCCAGCATAGCCTGGGAAGCAGGGGTGGTGGGGCATGGGATGGGCAGGAGTGAGGATGAATGCGATTTCAAACCCAAGTGGGTGTGAGAGGTGGCTGAACAAGTCAGAGGAAGCCCCATGAGCAGCCCCAGAGGTGTCTGCAGAACTCTCAACCTGAATCAACACTGATGGTTTTGCCTCATCAGTGATCTGCGTCAGCATTTGAACTGAGGAGCTAAAATCCATCAGGGCAGGAGACCTGGGACCACAGGGGATATCCAGCAAAGGGGAGTGTGAGGGATATTCCTACTTTCTCCTCCTAAAAGGCCAAATATTATCCTACTGCACTGAGTGACACAGCTGGCACAAGCGAGTGCTATTGCTGCTCTCACCATGGCAGCAGAAGGTGACAGGAGCAGAAGTCCACGATGCTACCAGGTACTGCCCAGTGGTCTGTGGTGGGATCTGGCTGCCTGCACTCAGGTCTCTGGAGCCAATGGAGATGCCCTTGGGGAACTTGCCTGGCCTCTGGCTACTGGTCCAGGTGGGTCCAGGCATCCCCAGGATGCTGCAGCAGATCAGCCAGCCCCACTGGATATCTTGCATACCTCAGAGCATCTCCAGTGGCCCAGGATGCCTCTGTTCATGAAGCTGAGCCATGCCTGGATCTCTCCTTGCTGCAATCAGTGGCGCATACAGAGACACTGACATGAAGTTGTCTGACCCTTCAAAGAGGTTTGTCCTGGGTGAGTGATGAGACCCAGGAGGCTGAGGAACAGCTCTTAAGCTGAGAAGTTCAGGCTCAAACTGGTTTGTGTGAGCTGTTTGCACTGTCATCCACTTTGTTCATGCACATCCATAGGAAAAGTAACTGGAGTCTGATGGTGACACTTCTGTAGGTGTTACCGCATCTTCAGATTTGATTCGGACAGCCCATCTCCTGCAAGGGTGGGTACCTGCAAGGTACTAGGGCAATACTAGCAGCAGAAATTTCAGTAGGAAGCAAATTTTGGTACATATGTAAGGTGACCCTACAATCCAGCACTGGAGCAAATAATTTATATTGCGAACTACTCAGAAACTAAATTACATGGCATACATTGATCTTTTACACCCATTGAATAAATTTCACAAAATCAGTTATACATAAATCTGCAGAAGAGGTTCAGAAGTAGAGCAGAGAATGAAATTATCCAACCAGTGTATCACAGAAATTTATCTTTGACAGGTCAAAGCCTGATATATGTCTGATCCCTGAGCCTAGCTGTCTGACACCTCAGCTCCTGCTCTCAAGGTACGTGGCCCAAAATCAAGCAAACAAAAACATGCTAGCAAATTTACATAAGCACAGTCTGCATGTAAGTTCAGGGATAGGGAGCCTAGTGATTAATGTAGGATATTTCCTTCCTTCTCCTTGTTTTACCTATCTACAGACTTCAAGAGGGCTGGGATGTTCGTCCTATGCTTAGCTGTTCTCCTCCTTTCACCCTTTTCTCTTTCTTTATCCTTTGCTGTGGTCATTGGCTGTGTTGGTCAGAACGTATCTGTAGGATAATCATTGGGCTCTTTGCTTTCCTGGCCCCAGGATGAATCACAAAATAATTGAATTTGGGAGTGAACTCTTAAGACACTCTAGTCCAGACCCCTACTCAAGCAAAGTCAGCTAAAGTAGGTTGTCCAGGGCTGCATCCAGTTGGGTTTTGAGTATCTCCAGCAATGGAGACTCCAAAACCTCTCTGGGCAACCCGAGCCTGACCCTTCCCAAAGAGGTGAGGGACAAAGCAGCAGATTATCAGTGTTGTCTAATGAGGATTGGAAGGAACTATGATCTGTCTATGAGCATGGAGAAAAAGGAAAAAAGAAAAGGTTAAGTCCTGCTGGGTAAGAAGCTCAGATTTCCTTGTCCATGGGCTCTTAGTCACCTACCCCTCCACAGTAGCCATTGCAAGGACTGGTTATAAGAGCTGTCTCCAAGGGTGGGCAGCAAAGCAAACCAGCTGGAGGCTCTGCTGACCTCTTTTTCCCTTGTATCAGAGGACGTGGTGCTCTGAGAGACAGAGCTGGAAAACCACTAGAGAAGGAAGTAGGATGGACGCTGCACAGGATGTGTGGTGAAAGCTCCCAAGCCTTTTACACCCAGGACATGAAGTGGGGCTTATTATCGGGGACAGCTGCTGTCAAACAGAGAAACCTGGTCCCTCCCATAGAGCTGGGTCAACTCATTCTCCAGCTCCCCCAGAGTGAGGACCTGCACCTCGTTCTTGTCGTTCTCGGCAATGACCGCCCAAGCCTTCCTGTGGTTGGTGTCCACCTCGCAGCACACACCCGACCAGATGTGGCTGGGTATATTAACTCTCCCCTTGGCAATATAGCTGTTCCCAGGCACAGCTCCCACGACGACGTAGGTGGTGTTACAGCCCTTGGTCCTCGTGATCATCATTTGCTGCTCGTAGTTATTCCAGGCACCGCCGTTGAGTTTCTCATTCTGGGGCACGATGTTGGTGAGGGTGAAGGTAGCCGTCCTGCTGGTGGTGTTGGAGTGATGGCTGCTGGGGTTCAAATGGCCACGGTTCAAACCTGTCAAGTTCTTGTAGTCTTGGAGAATCGCCTGGCTGTTGCTGATTTCCTCTAAGCTGACTTTGGAATACTTTAAGAGGGTGTACTCTCTTTCCATAGATTTGGGATAAGTTGGACCAATCAGCTTGACAGGTAAAGAAGAGGAAAAGGTGTTAATATAGAGGGTGGGAGCAATGGAGCAAGTTTCCCTGGAGCAGAAGTGTCTGAGTGCTGAACACCCAGTTTTGATCATCTCAGTGTATGAAAATGCATGAATCAGAGAAAAATCATAAAGCTGCCCCTCCCTGATGAACACAAGTGATTTAAAACAAAAAAAGAAAGCTCAGAACAAGCTGGAGCATAAGAAGTCCCACGTGAACTTCTTCTCAGTGAGGGTGACAGAGCACTGGACCAGGCTGCCCAGAGAGGTTGTGGAGTCTCCTTCTCTGGAGACATTCAAAACCCGCCTGGCCGTGTTCCTGTGTTCCTGTGGTCTAGGTGATCCTGCTCTGGCAGGGGTTGGACTGGATGAGCTTTCGAGGTCCCTTCCAACTCTTAACATTCTGTGATTCTGTGTAATTTGACTGCTCTCAATTTGACTTGTGACCTTTGAAATCCAGCCTGCAGCCTGCGGTGGGAGTGTGGGTGGACGCATGAGACGATGAGCATTTTCCACTCCCGGGTTTGAAAGGTAACTTTGACAAGATATCTTCTCTATCACATCTGGTTCTCTTTCCTCCCATATCCACATCCCACGTCTGTCCAGGGCTCTCTCCAGTGTCTCCCAACCCCATTAACCACATCCAACCTTCATCACCTGCATCTAATTACGCTATCGTCAGCCCTGGCCTTTGCTCTGTTCAGTTCCATTTCCACAAGTGCTCTCACAGTCTCTATGAAAGGTTTTCATGCATTTTCTAATCCAATCTGTCAACACTGTAGTGTTTTACAAGCCTGGGGAAAACAAGCGCAGAGATAATCACTTTGAAGGCTGGGTGTCTTACAAAGTCCTTGAAGGTAAACAAGATGGGAAGAGGAGGAGCAGAAGAGCTGTGGAGCCCACAGAATTCCCAGGAGGAGATGAGGAGGACTCAGCCCCTTCTGCTTTGCCCCTCACTTGGGAAGAATCATGTGTGGTTACTGCAGGTGATATCACACTCCTGAAACAGGCTTTCTCTAGCCCCATACACAGAAGATGTGTTGGGAAAGCAGCCCCAGGGGAGAGGCTTCCCTGGGAGGGCTGTAGTTCATCACGAGGATGAAGATTTTTGCTCAGTAAGCAAAAATACCTCAATGCAAGTGGGATCCGCTACAGCAATGCTAATAACACATCAAGGAGTTGGTCTGTGCCAGGGAGCACAGATGTGCTCCTTCTGAAGCATCACTGAAAATAAGTGAGAAATGACCAGCCTCTTAAGGGAGGTCTTAATCCCCAAAGAGACCTGGGGAATCTAAGTACTGAAAAAAGACCTCTGAAGAAAGTTAACAACATCACAGATTTCCCACATGGCCTGGGTCTGTGGTCCAGGAGGAAGAGAGAAGTTTTTATCCCCTCTAAATGTGGAGGCCGCAGAGGTGCAATCGGCCTGTGGTCCAGGAGGAAGAGAGAAGTTTTCATACCCTCTAAATGTGGAGGCCGCAGAGGTGCAATATTTGAGTTCCTATAAATAACAAGTGCAAAAGCTTTTTTTTTTTTAATAACTATAACACCTTTCCTTTCGTATTTAGGGAAACATATTTAGCCTTCCTTTGGAACAGGTTGCCTTCTATGGCTCATTTTCACCTAAGTTCCCTACTGCTACTGTGTCCCCAGCAATGACCTGAATTTCCTCTTCTTCTCTTCTGTAATTTGCTTGGTCTTTTTTTTTACTGAAGGTCTGAAGTTTGTCAGAAGGACATTTGAGAGGGCTCTGTCATTTGTGTGTATGGTGGATCCTTCTGAATCAAGCCTGAGGCAATGGTGGTAAGGAGCAACTGCAGGTGGATGGAGGTGATGCACTTTTGACCTGTCTGACAATGATCCCACTCACTTTCCACTGCCTGAAATACCATTCAATGAATTCACCCGGGGTTAACCCAACCCTCTCATCGCTGTGCCTGTGTCTAGACATTTTCACTGGGTCATCTCACCCAATTCTGAGTATCTCTGCACTTCTCTCATGCCACTTAAAAAGCCAAATTTACTCTTTACTGGGAGCAAATAAGCTATGACAGGAATGCAACACAGCTCAGGGCGAAGTGGAGCCCAGATCCCAGCACAGTTCATCCCTCAAATGTAGCTGCTGTTGGATGTCTTTTCCCCATCGTTTGATCCTCCACCACAATGTGGGACAGGGAGGGGTGTCATTTGACTTAATGTAATGTAAATAAACGTAATGTAATGTAATGTAATGTAATGTAATGTAATGTAATGTAATGTAATGTAAGATAATTTGACTTAATGTTCCTGTAAAATCAAAGTGGAAAAATAGGCTCTTTTAGGATATGACTTATCTCATCCAAAAAATCTCAAATGCATCAGAGGAATCATGTGGTGAAGGTGTTTGAAGTTAAATGAGACGAATCCCATCTAGTGGGTCCATTTGCATGTGTATGGGGGCAGGGGAAAAAAAGAAGTGTTTGGTTAAATGCTGCAGTTCATATTTAATGTTTGTAAGAGAGGACACCTACCTGGGGTTCAACCATCCACGTTTTAGGTCTTTTGCCAGATGCAGGCTGGTAGACGTAAGCGGAGTACACAGGAATACGCCGTTTTCTGTCATAGAGGGTGGCGAAGAAATACTGGTTCTGGTAGTGCTGGCAGATCCAAGCTGGGCTCTCCGGCTCCAGGGCTTCATTTGGGGGAGTTTCCCGGAAGAAAAACTGAGGGCAGGAACTTTCAAAGGATGTCACCACCTCACTGCGCCCCAGCCAGAGGCAGCTCGCCAAGACCTGCAGCAGCAGCAGCAACAGCATCGCAGGGAGGGCTTCAAGTGGAAGGCTCTTGCTCACCTGGAGAACAAATGCAGAGAGACATTCAACTTGGAGAAAGCTCATTGTGGCCTGGAGTAATTTTTGTGCTTGTGGGATGCGGCTGTGAGGGGAGGAAACTACGAGAGACCAAGGAGGGAACAATTTCTGTCCTCCTAGACGTGGAAAAAACAACAGGGAATTAAGAGTGAAATCTAAAATAGGTTTTATGTTCCAAGAGGAGGCAGCAGTGGGAGAATTTAGTTCATCTGAGGAAGGAGCCAAACCCACCCCATGTCTAAGCAGCTCACAGTGCAATTTTTTCTTGAAATTGAGGTATGGTGTTGGGACAAGGCCACCATTTCCAGCCTACCTGTGTTGGTCAAGAGCTCAGCTTTTGCATTGGCACTGGAGAAAAAAAGCCTGAAGCAACCCAGGGGCTGGGAGCCCCTATTTGGGAACATCATCTCACAGCAGGATTCATGTCCCCTCGAGTTAGGTCAGATGCTTAACCCAAGTGGTTCAGCTTGAGGTCCTGGCTCTCAGACAGCTGACACTGGGAGATGTGTGTCCTGCTGCTCGGCTTGCATTTTCAGGTTGTCCAGCCCCAGACAGTGAACTTACAGACAGAAAAGGAGCCAAGCAGATGGCAGCAGTAAGCACGAGGGGTGATGTCTCTATCTCATCAGCACCCTGGCTGCTGCTGTGGCAGTGCAGACACTGAAGGGCAGCTCAGGATTTCTGCTGACACATATCTTTAGCTTTGCTGATTGTTTTTTTTCCTGTACAGTAAAAGGTGCTGGTGCAGGAATTTCTATTTCTTGAACAGAAACAGGTTCTGTTTTGTCTTTCTTGGGTGTTGATATGATTTTCAGCAGTCAGCAAGATCTTTCCTTTTGGAGATTTCTGCTGAAAAACTCCCTGTGATGCTGGCAGTGACGCGGGGTGCTTTACCTTCTTTCAAATGCACCGCAGGCTTTAGGATAACAGTGATATTTCCATTTTCATTGCTAGACAGAGTGGTTTTAAAATAATTAGCACCTTAAATAAGGCAAGCAGGACCAGCAGCTAAAAGGACTCATGGGAGAGAAAGCTGACATGGCCTTTAAAACACAAAACCTGCCTTTGGCTGGGGAAGTGTCTGAGCCGAGGACTACCGAAGGCTTGAAAAGTCACCTTGCACGATTGCTCCTGTCTAATTCTTTTCGCCGGTGCTCATCTATTAAATTCCACTGGATTCAGGATATTGAGCTAGATATACCCTTGCTCTGACCAAAGACATCTGGTCCTTTATCTCTTCACTAGTGCTGGACAGGACTGTGGTAATCAGTAAGCTGCTGAAAAGTCAGAAAACTGAACCACAAGAAGTGACTTATTACAGTAATCTGCAGAGCATGACCGTGTCTGTCCCAGCTCAGGCAGAAAAGTTACTGAAAACTTCTTCTTTTGCACCACCCCCTCCACAAAGCTTAAAAATATGTCTAACTAACTTAATATCAGATATATAGAAACCAACCTACCGTGTGAAAGAGCAGCACATAAATGTTTTTATTCGCAGGACTCTGCTCACAGCCCCAAAGTGGGAGAGGATTTTCAAGTGCCTCTGCTACCGTCTGAAACTGCGTGTAACCTTAGGGTGGTTTATATATGATCTCCAGGAAAGCCAGAGTTGTTAGATTTCTCAAATACGATTTAGAGTAAGTTTGTCCAGGGGTGGAGCCAGGACTTGTGTTTTTCCAGATGTCTTTTGCAAGGTCACGTGTGAGGTTACGGTGCTCAATACACTCCTGCTACTCCCCCTTATTCAACAGTTCGGTGTGAATTTTCCAGGTGACTTGGCAACTGAAATGTAATTATGCAAAGTGTTTTATGGCATTTCTGATAACCTTGAATCAAGTCTTCCCTACAGCTGTGAACCAAACTCTGTCAGAGGGCCAAATTAAGACCTTGAATTTACCCTTTTCCAATGTCGCAGATGAAAAGAGGGTACAAACCCAACTCCCATCTGCTTGGTGCATGTGGTAATCAACAGGCAGTAATTCATAAGACATGTGACGTTGCCAGATCAGGTGCAGAAGAAGTGCCTGGCTGCACCAACCACTCTCAGATCAGGAGTGGACTCAGCACCCAGCATCTTCAGTGCATCCTGTACAACCTTTGTCAGACTCTTGTGCGGCAGACATGGGCATTCAGGCACAACCCAGTGCTGGTGCTGGCTCTTAGCTAGCCAAGACCTTGCTGGATCTGAGGGAATCATTCATTCTCAAAGAGATGTCCAAGAAATTGCAATAATCAAGATGAATCAAGCCTTTGACACAGTCTCCCACAGCAT